GGAGAGAAGAGAAATACAGGCAATTCTGTTTAGGGGCAATAAATGGTTGCTGGGGAAATGAATAGATAGTTGGGAGATTGTAAATGAACCTGAGACAGGTATTATGTTTAAAATGATTTGAGACAGGTCTGGTTGCATTCTTGATTTTTTTTTCCTGTAATATATTGAGATAACGGGGAGGGAAAGGAAGTTAACTGATGGGTCCATCTGTTTATGCAGACAGAAAGAAAGCCCCTTCCAAGAGATCTAAGAGATCCTTAGAAATCTAAGGCCTGTAATTCAAAATACTCTTTTTACCAAGTGTTATACTTTGGTGTGAAATTTCTTAAGTTCCGTCATTCACCATGGATGAAAAAAAGTTCCCATGGTTTCTTTCTTCATTAAAAGAAAAAAAGTCTTTAGTCACTGCCATTAAAATTCTCCAGGTATCTGCAAATAACACAAAGTATCCTGCTGGGCTTCCACCTAAACTCAGCTCATCTTCCATGAAAGTTGAGGGTCTTACTGACACCACCTCCATCACAGTAGTTGTTCACTTCCATTCCAAACAGCACAGCCACCCTACTCTATTTAAAGCCTAGAACAGGCTGGTTCAATCCCAGCCTGTGACATGTTACGTGTTATGACAACTGAGAACCCGTTCCACGCTGCTGACACCCAGCAAAGCTCTTGTGCACGGGTAAAATTAATCCAAGGCATTCTTACTGGATCTTGGAGGTATAACGAACTATCAGTCTCAAAAATATCAAGCCTTATGTTCCTTGTATGTCTCATTCTATATGGAAATAAAAAGATATTTGCTTTCTGATGGAAGCCACACCCACAGAAAGTGGAAAGAACTAGATCACAGTCAGGAGGACTCTAATTATAGACGATCAAGTGCACTGTGGTAAGACAGGGAGGTCCCGGCACAGCCTCGCCACAAAGCAGGAGCTCAGTAAATACGTATTGGTGGGTACAGATGACAGAGCACCCATAGGGGTGTGAGGGAAAGACAGTGACTGTGTCACTCACTCACTCTGAGTGTGCCTATACATTGATCAGACAGTGACTCTGGCAAATTCCTACTTGTTTTTTCAGGGATAGAAGTATAAACATACAGTATTTGCATCTCACTGGATATGACTCCAACGATTTCTAACTGTTTTCATACGACTTCTAATTCTTTGCACCACTCTCAGAATTCACTGCAGGTGTTTGTAGCATAGACTACTTGTTGCTGCAACCACATTTTCAGCTCCTGCCTTTTTATTCTTAGCTCTTTCTTCCTTGATTAGGTTGCCCCTTTCATTCTATTTCCCTGAATAAAACAAACCACAGTTTTTCCCCACAGCAATGACAGGCCATTATCTTTCTGGCTGCCCCCAGGTGACGTGAAATTTTACTATTCATCAGTCTGGGTTTCTCAAGTCTAACAAATTGGTTCACAACAAAATAAGAAAGAAGAGCCTGCTATAGAGCAGTGTTCCTTTGACAGAGTAAAAGGGAAAAAATTTCATTCTTGTGCTACTTTTACAAAATTATCTGTTGACATCTTTCAAACATAGCAGAGAAAGCTCCCATATTCCTAATTCAAATGGAATATTGAGTTATTTCTTTTCCCAGTGCTTAAAGCAACACAGTGAAAATGCTCTAAGATGGGTGGTAGAATCATTTCAGGAATTACAGGGGAAGTCATAATCAATCTGTGGAAGGCATACATTGGTTTGGCCCCAAAAAGATGGGACATCTCAAAGCTACAGGCTCACAGGTTATGAGGGGTTTAAAGATTCTTTAGCTGATAATTGGCTGAAAGAGTTAGGCTCCGTCTATTAGACCAGGAGTTTGTGGAAAGGAGTGCTGAGTTACCAAAAGGGTCTGTAATCAGAGACAAACCACCAGACAGGTGCCCAGACTCAGGCAGCGCTGTGAATACTGCGGGCCTGCAGATGTCTGGCAGAGCCTTTGACCTGTGAATGAGTCGCAGAGGACGTCCCTAAGAAGGGGAGGGGCCTGATGAGCATTTCTGTTGTCCTTTCTCAGGGCCAGCAACTCAGTTTTAGGCAGCCCCTTAGCCAAAAGGGGATCTGGTCAGTCAGTCCCAGAGGGAGCCTGAAGATTTTAATTTGGTTTGCCCACCTCAAGATGGATGAGATTGCCTTGGTTTTGTGGCTCAGTGAATTGATATACGCCTAGTCATTACGTATATTGTGCATTGCCAAAATATGACAGTTTAATGTCAATTTTGCACCCATTATTTTCCTTAGTTTCAGTTAAGTGCTGAGGAAACTTGTTTACGTAAACAAGTAGATAGGAAGGAATGGGTTTTTATTATAGCAGTGTCTTTATTCTTCAAATTCCTTTGGCATTAAATGCCGCTAATCACATCATGATCTCTCATGATTATTTTTAATGATCTATCAGCTGTCAGCTCCTCTGGGATTCCTTCCAACTTGTTGAAGCAGGGACTCAGAAATCACTGGAGTTGTCAAAATGTGCGTTATCCCTCCAGGAGGCTCATTCCCTTTCTTAATCTTAATATTGTTCCTTCTAATTGTCTTGTGGGGCGATCTGGAGGGGCTGTGCCACAGCAGGATTGGGGATGGATGAGGGAAGGACGTGAGGAAAGGTGAAAAGGAAACGGAGGTGTGTCCTCGGGGAGACCAATTTTAGGGACGCATGCACAGGAAAGTTGTGTAGGGTGAAGGGAAAGCTGCCTTTGCGCGAAAAGTTTGCTGAAAAATCAACTCACAATTAAGGCAGATGAATAAGGGAAGGTTTATTTATCCAGCACGTGGGGAGGGTTGCAGAGTGATTCCCAATGTCCCCATGAAGCCCCCTTTAGACGCACCTTTTAGAGGGAAAGGAGAAAATTGAGAGGAGTATAGCTAATTCTGTGCAGGGGCAATAAACAGTGGGTAAGGAGGATGAACAGGTGGGGAAATAGATTTAATTTAGAACTACCCAGAGAGACAGGTATTACGTTTTAAATAATTTAGGCCGAGTCCGGTTGCATTCTCTAACACACTGAGATCTCAGAGAGGAAGAGAGGCCCATTTCCTCTTTGATCTGGTTTATGCGGATAGAGGGAAGCCTCTTCTATGCTTTTTTGATCTCAAACATCCTTTAATTGAAAATATTCTTTATACAAAGTAGTCATGTTTGGGGGTGAAATTCCCTGTGCTCCTCTATTTGAGACTTGGAAATTGCTTCCCTTCAAGTGTCTGTGTGCCTGCATATCTCTTGGACGTCTCCAGATACAGCCAGGTGCCCGACTCTGGGTTGGAGTCTACTGATCTGTGCTTGCCTCCCTCACCTCTCTGTCCTCATTCTCCAGTGCTCTCAGCCCCACTCTGGCCACACTGACATCCTCACTGCTCCTTCAGTGTTCCTAGTAGTCCCCAGCTTGGGGTCTTTACTTTTCCCAAACTATTCGAAAAATCACCTTTAGAGTGAGATCTTCCTCAACCACACTAATTTTGTGTGTGTGTGTGTGTG